TAGATAGATAGATAGATAGATAGATAGATAGATAGATAGATAGATAGATAGATAGATAGGTAGATAGGTAGGTAGACAGACAGACATATAGATAGAAAGATGGCTAGGTAGGTAGGTAGACAGACAGACAGATAGATATATAGACAGATAGATAGACAGACCTTTTAGTATGAGGTGATTCTCTGACTCCCGTATTGTTGTTATTGTCAAATAACCATCATATGACAACAATGTAACAACATTTTTTTTTGGTTTTTGGTGTGCCACCTGATTTTATTTTTTTTAATAACTTTATTAACAACACAAAACAAAACTGAACAATACAAGATAAACTTTTTGAAGGGTGTCATAACTACGTTTTACAAAATTGTTTTTTAAAACAAAATAATAGAAGAAAAAATTAAACAAATAAAATAAAAAAACAAAGTAGCAAGACCATATGCAAAACTTAAAACAGTAGGTTTTTAGATATCTATTCTAGCCGTTTTCCAGTTTTTTAATCTATATAATCAAGTTCAAGGTTCTTTATTGTCATTTGCATCACATGTGGTACATGAGGTGGAACGAAACTGTGTACTCAAGGTCCCAGTGCTCAAAAATAGCTAAAATATAAAGTATAAAAAGAAACAGTAAATAAGGATCTAAAATATATTTCATTCAACCTTTATTTAGACAGGTAAATCCCATTGAGCCTCGAGGACTCATTTACAAGAGAGACTTGATTTCAACAAAGAATGATGACAACAATAGACAGTTATAAAAAGGCATACAGATTTTTTTTTTTTACAAATAAGATGGAAAATAGAGTAACAAAACAGCTAGATTATAAGGCGAATGTAGAAAACTAAAAACAGAAGCATGTCTGCATTATATAAATATTCACCATTATTATTATATATTCACCATTCGCCTTATAAATATAAACTAAGATATATGCTAAACGAACGCCAAACAGTACAGAATCAGATTAATTGTCATTGCACAGAAGCACAACAAAATTTCATTCCAGTACAGCTCGTCTAAAATGCTAAAAGATCTAGGATAGTCACTAATAGTGCAAAACAATTCACTGAACAAATGCAGCACGAACATGAGTCTTTGTAAGTGGGTGAGTACGAATGAATGAATGCAGCAGCACAAGATCAGCAGCATGTATAATCAGCAGCACATATCAACAATTAAAGTTGCATTAGTGTTTTGTTTTTTCTTCATAACAAAAAAATAATATGACTTAAAATTGATCATAAAACAAGTGAAGGAGGGCTTATTATCCCTAGAAAGTGAATGTGGTACTTTTGCTGTAAGTATGACAATATTTATGGCATATTGCCACCTGATTTTTAGTGGCCCCCCCACCACAAATGGCCACCCGTTAAAAAATCTGAATACGCAAAACAGGTGAAGGAGGTCTTATTATTCCTCTACTTACTAAAGTGAATATGGTACTTTTGCTATAGGTATGACTATATTTAGGGCATATTGCCACCTGATTTTTAGTGGCCCCCCACCACAAATGGCCACCCCATTAAAAAAAAAATCTGAATATGCAAAACAGCTGAAGGAGGGCTTATTATTCCTCTACTTACTAAAGTGAATGTGGTACTTTTGCTATAGGTATGACTATATTTATGGCATATTGCCACCTGATTTTTAATGGCTCCCCACCACAAATGGCCACCCCGTTAAAAAGTCTGAATACGCAAAACAGGTGGAGGGCTAATTACCCCTCTACTTACTAAAGTGAATGTGGTACTTTTGCTATAGGTATGAAAATATTTATGGCATATTGCCACCTGATTTTTAGTGGCTCCCCACCACAAATGGCCACCCCGTAAAAAAAAAATCTGAATACCAAAATAGGTGAAGGAAGGCTTATTATCCCAATTTGTAGTGGCCCCCCACCTCGAATGGCCACCCCATAAAAAAACTCTGAATACGCCACTGCTGAAAAAAAGCTGGGACATTAAATACTGTAAAAACGATACACAAAACCTAATAATAAGCCTAATGTGAATTAAACCGTGTTCGATTAAAACGAGTGCGGCTCCTCCAGGCCTGACATGGCGGGCCTACAGGTGTCCGGGGCCGCCAGCAAGCGGCGCTTTTCAGCCCGAACCCTGCTGCGGCTCTTCCCCCCCTGAAGATGTCCACAGGGCGGATCGAGTTACTGAACTCCAGTCTCTGAGCTCCAGACAGTCGCTTCGCCGTTAGCCTCAAGACAACAGAGGAAACTACCGGACACTGTCCGTCTGTCGGGGACAGCAGCGGCTCCACACTCATGTAAGCCACCATTTTGGGACTATTTTCACTCGAGGAGGCGTCAGCCATCATTTGAGAATCGTGTAACTTCGATTAAAAAAAATAATTTAATCGCCTTTTGTTCGTCGCTCAATTAAAGGTAATGAGTCGCCCGTTGCTGTTGTCGCAGTGGGTCTGTTTAAGCAATAAACACCGAAGATTAGCTTATTTTAAGGGGGAGAAATACAAAGTAAACGCTTTAAAGTGGTTAAAGGTTTTCTTCCGCCGCCTAACTGTTCAACTTGTTCACCGTTTTCCTCTCGGAAGCCTGTTGCTTTCCTCCACAGATGAAGAGGAGGAGCAGAGAAAAGCGGATTGTCCCGACTCTGTCCAAAACACTTCCAGCCCCGAACTGGATTTACAAGCTTACGACCTTTTTATTAACGCAAGTAAACAGTGACGATGTGTTTTCAGCGGCGATTTGAGCCACTTTTGAGGTGTTTTCCACCAAGACGCTCATCATCAAACCTTGGGTGAATCATCAAGACTGCTGAAGAGTCAGACATGTCTAGTTCTCTAGTTAAAGTAGTTGCTGTTTGACACTTTGGCATACACTTGAAAATACATTTTACTAGTACAACCATAAACACATGCCTATGGAGGTTAGAGTAAGGTGTAAGTATTTTAAATATTTACAGAAACCCAATGGTGGGCACAGTTCTGCTACTACAGGAACTATTTTTATTTATTTAGCGGATTAGTGTCTTCGCTAACTGGAAATAAATCCATCTATCCATCCATCCTCCTTTTGGGGTTACTGGTGCCCATATCGCCCATATCCTTCAGTCACTGTTTGAGAGGCGGCCTGGACAGGTCTCCAGTCCATCACAGGGACACATAGAGACAAACGACACAACCATTCACATTCTTGCTCACACCTAGGGACAATTTTAGAGTTATCAATTAGCCTATGCTTTTGGTCTGTGGGAGGAAATCAGAGTACCCGAGGAAAACCCACCCATGCATGAAGAGAACATGCAAACTCTACCCAGAATGAGACCAGTTTGGACTCACTTATCAGATATCAGTCTGGCGAAAGATCATTAAGAACATTTACTCATCCTCAATCTGTCTGAGACATGCTGCAATTCAATTCAAGGTGGTACACTGGTCCAAAGACGAGCTGTCCAAGATCAAAGCCGACCTGGATCCCGCATGCAATCAATGTAAACAAACTCCAGCTACACTCCTGCATTCATTCTGGACCTACTCAAACTTCAGACTTTTTGGCTATCTGTTTTTGACACCTTCTCTGGGATATGTGGCAAAACTGTACACCCATCACCATTCATCTCACTGTTCAGGGTGGTCCCTGTGGAGACGTCCTTCAGCAAATATGAGAAGGAAGTGATTGCTTTTGACTCTCTTTTGTCCAGAAGACTGGTTTTGTGCTACCAGTCCATTCTCCTCTAATGTGATGTCTCTGACTCATGTCCAACTTGTAACCAAACCCCTGCTTAAATCAACTATGACATTCTTTGCATGGTAGTTGACCCTCAGTCCTCAACAGCGTTCCTCAAAGGTAAACTATAGGAACCATCTTTAAATATGAGTTTCTGGAAGAGGAGAGCGGCTACATTTAGAGGCCTCTCTAACTTTATCTTCCAGTTGTTCAACCTGTGCTGGACCTCTGATTATCTCATTCCTAATCTTATCCAGCCTGGTCCCTCCTAAGGAGAAGCTCAACATTTTTATTTCTGCCACTTCCAGTTCTTTTCTCCTGTCTTTTTGTCAATGCCACTGTCTCCAGACCACATAACATAACCGGTCTCATCATTGTCCTGTAAACTTTTCCTTTGACCTTTGCTGATGTCGCAAATCATTCCGAAAACTTTTCTCCATCCACTCCATCCTGCCTGGACTCTTTTTCACCTGTTTGCCACGCTCCACATTTTCCTGGACTGTGGACCACAAGTACTTGAAGTCCTGCGCCTTTGTGACCTCTGCTCCTTGTAGCCTCACTGTTCCACCGGCCTTCCTCTCATTCACACACATGTACTCTGTCTTACTACAGCTGACTTTCATTCCGCTTCTTTCAAGTGCATACCTCCACCTCTCCAAGCTCTCTTCCACCTGTTCCTTGTTTTCACCACAGATCACAATGTCATCTGCAAACATCATAGTCCAACGGGACTACACCTATATGAACCAGTTTATCTGAGGTTTTCAGGATTCCCAAACTATGGAGTTTGATTTGAATGTTTCCAGGTACGAATAAGTGTGTAAAAATAGACAGACATTAGTGTTTCCAGATTCTTTTCCATATAACTATTTAGGTACGTATATTTAATGAATTTGAACTTTAATCTGAATTTGGATGAATAAGGGAGAGAAACCATGAAATACATCTTATTGATTAATCAAATAAAAGTTCAAAGAAGCTATGGTAGAAGTTTTCTTCAGGCGAGAAGGAAAAGCTTTATTATAAAACATGGAGATTTAACTTCTTCTCCAATAATTCATATAAACTTTCTGTTTAATGTTGTTGCTATGAGGAGATGATGTTCAGGACATTGAGTTCAGAAGACAGTGAGCTTCTATTCTACATCTCATTTCTGTATCCAATGGAAGCGGTGAAAATGTGTGAATTAGTTCACAAGTAGTCCGTTAAGAAATTTAGAAAAATGTTTTTGTTTAGTAAAAATGTAAACATAACTAAGTGTTTTTTGGTCATTTTCAGGCCTTGATAAAGGAAAAGAATCCATGTGAACCTGAGGGTCTGAAAATGATAGAAACAATGGGTAAGTTTTTTTTTTTTTAATTGTATCAACTTGATTTAAACAATTAGATTTATATACTGGTAACTGTTTTACACCATTGTTTTGTAGTGTTGCCATGACAACAATATGCTGTCTGAATCTTCATAAGTGAGCAACTTTTGCTCAGAGGTTGGCTTTGATCTCTTGATCGTCTTTGCGCCCTAAATCCGTCTTTTACTGAAAACCTTGGAGCGGCGCAAGAGACTCGGACAGCCAACGTTGCCATATCAGACAACGTTGCTGTAAAAGTGTTAGTTTGTAAACTGGTGCTGTCAGCTTTTTTCACTCAAAGGGACAAATCAGATCTTTAGAAATGTTTTATGATGTAGCTGCAATGTTTCCACCTAATAAATTGGTTCGAATGCTCAAACCATCAGTCTTTGTCTAAAGTAAGAACATTCTGGTCTTCAAAGGATTGTCCATGAAATTGTACATGTACAGCTGAATTGTATTTGAAAATAATGTTCCGATGGATGGATGGATGGATGGATGGATGGATGGATGGATGGATGGATGGATGGATGGATGGATGAGGTAGGTAGGCAGGCAGACTGGTTGGTAGGCAGGTAGGTAGGTCACAATACTCTGTATTTACACTGTGGAAACCGTAGGACCCTACGTTATACTGGTCAGCAGTGCTACAGCTACTTTTACGTAAGCTTGCAAATAACCATAGAGGTTTATATAAATAGCAGTATAATACAAAACTAGTAGAGATGTAAACGTTAACAAGAGTGTTCATGAGAACGGCTATGAATTTTTTGAAATTGGAGGATTTTTTTTAGGTTGGCAGTAGTCCATTTTGTTCTCAGCTCAACTCACACTATCTGGTCAGAGATTTTCTAAACTGAAGTTGGCGCTATCTAAACAGGTAAACTAGGTAAAATATTAATTGATTAATTAATTAATTGTCTCTGGGCAAGACACTGAACCCCTCCTTGCCTCTGATGTGTGTCCCATTGGTGTATGAATGTGATCTGATTAGTCTTTGTAGAGACATAGTAGAGTGCTGTATGAATGGGTAAGTGAGGGCACAGATGGTATTGTAAAGCGCTTTGAGTATCTTAATAAGATAGAAAGGTGCTATATAAGCACAGTCCATTTATCATTTACTGAATCCCACTTCAACAGATCTGATCTGTCGCTTCAAAGCCGTGCAGTTTTCGACGCTGGATTACGGAACTGAGTCTTTGAACAGTTTTTACTCGCATTGCAGCTCAGATTATAATTGAATATAACCTTGGCGATAATCTTAATCTTTGTTTCGGTGCTGCGCTTCAAACGAACACACAAGACCTACATGTCCTGGTCTGGTAGGCCTCTTCATTATCCACACTGAAGAAAAGGCCGTGACAATGACACAGTTATGCACACAGAACCAGCGGCGAGCAGAAAACAAAATATGCCGAGGCTCGAGTGGTATTGGCCTTGTTGCGATCTTTGTAGAAACAACAAAGCCCCTCAGTGCAAAAAGCGTTTTGGACAGAGCGTGCATGGCCCGTTAGGTGTTAGTCACAGTTGGCCGGCTTCAGAAATTGCTTCATTTTTGCCCAGAAGACGTTGTGGCTGGCCCCCTTCCTCACTAACAAGCCACTCTGGAGTAGCTTGATTGTGGGGGCTTATGTAGGGTCCAGCAGGCAAACGGTGAAGGGCCCGACTCTCTTTATCTCTCCTTCCTGATAGCCGCTCTGTGCTCCCATGCAGGCCGTTGTTGACTCCAGCACTGAGAAAAGGATACAAAGAACAAACAGAGCAGTGAAAATTGAGTTTTTACTTTTGTGCGAAACCTGTGGCGACGTGCTTTTGATACAGTAAGGTCTGCTGAGCACCAATCAGCCCTGGCTAAGCCTTGCTTCTGATATGCTGCTCTATCCTTTGGCTTTCATTCACAAGTCTTTGTTAAACATAAATGGTTACGAAACAGTTTTTTTGTTGTTGCTTTTTTCAATCCAAAAGCATATCACCCTAGAATTAATAAGGTCATGTGTTAGCTTCTCTCCCAGCCTCACAATCTCTTCTAATGAAGTTCTGTGTCTCCCACGCTTGCTCCTTCCTGCGACGGCTCGCAGATACCCAGCGTGCCTTACAGGCGGTGGAGCGTCTACAGGCCAAACTAAAGGAGCGAGGGGAGGTGCCCACCGAGGAGAAGCTCAGCCTGCTCAAATCAGTGCTTCAAAGTCCCCTGTTCCACCAGATCCTGGCCTTGCAGAAGTCTGTCCAGCAGCTCAAAGACCAGGTTGGATGTCTTTATATCTAAGACCTTGTTTACCAAAGGTCAGCGGTGAAAGGTGATGCTGTTCTTGTTTGTGTCTGCTTGTTTGTCATATTAGCATCATATCATACACATCTGGATGGACTTAAATGAAATTTTGAGGAAATAGTCATTGGTTGTACGTCTACAATTGATTAACCATTGAGTCAACTCAGTTCCACATGTCTGCCACGACCAACTGTCCTTAGAAAACTCGTGTCATTTTTACAGATACTGAGCTAAACTTTGGTGTGGTAGTGGCTGAGATTCATCCTAAATATATACTCTAAGTTCAAACAGATCACACAAAAAAAGTTGTTTAAATTTTTAGACCTTGGGGTGTTTGGCAATATGTATCTCAAAGATTGGTATATGCTTTGAAATATTGTTGAGGTATTATCATGCTCATTTCACAGTTGCTAGTTACTTTAGAACAGGCAAATCAAAAGTACATTCATTCATCCATTATCTTTTACCCACTTCTTCCTTTTTGGGTCGCAGGGGTCACTGGTACCCATGTCCAGCTATCACTGTGTGAGAGGCGGGGGACACCCAGACAGGTCTCCAGTCCATCACAGGGACACATAGAGACAAACAACCATTCAATCTCTCACTCACACCTAGAGACAATTTGGAGTTACCAATCAGCCTAACATGCATGTTTTTGGTCTGTGGGAGAAAACTGGAGTACCTGGGGAAAACCCATGCATGCACAGAGAGAACATGCAAACTCCACCCAGAAAGACCCCAGGCTAGGATTTATACCGGCAACCTTCTCACTGAGAGGCAACAGCTCTACCAACTGAGCCACCATGCTGCCATTATGGGACTCTGCAATGACATACCGTATTTTCCGCTGTACATGTCGCACCGCCCTATAAGTCACATCAGTCCAAATATGTCTAATAAAGTGGAAAAATCCATAAATACTTTGCTTCGCCGTATACATCACATCTATTATGCGTCACCACTGACGTGTCACGGGAACGTGCACGGGAGGACTTTAACACAAATTTAACAAGATTAACACTTAAAAACAATACATTTTTTTTGCTCAGAATTATAGTAAAGTTGTGCCTCAGTCTAACTTTTGCTTAGTAAATGCACTTTGACAGTCAAATCAGTTGCATTTCAAAAGCCGATACACGGAAGTAGGAATGCGCAGAGGGACAAGTTGCTGTGCATTTCTTTGAAATTTAACAAGATAAACACCTAAAACAATTATTTGTTTGCTCAACTTTATAGTAAAGGTGTGTTTCAGTTGCACTTTTACATAATAAATGCACTTCAATGATCAAATTAGCTGCATTTCGCTGGGGCGGTGTAGCAAAATGAAGCTGATTTGACTGTTGCTCCAAGCGAGCTGGACAAAGGTGGCAGTCTATGGCAAGCCGATTGTGTCATTAATAGCCAATTTTACCCATTACATGATATAATTATTCAACCTGTCGAAATAAAGGTTGAATAATGGCATGCCATACTACTCAAGTGCCATCTAGCGGCCGAAAATGGTAGTGTTCAATATTTTCAGTAAGAATGAATGAAAATGGTCATATCTTAGTCAAAAATTGGTTTATAATTATGGGGAAAAATCCATAAATATGTCGTTTCGGCCTATAAGTTACAGGGCATGCAAATTATGTACCCCCCCCCCCCCCCCCCGACTTATAGGGCAAAAAATATGGTATATTGTATTGTCAATGTATTGTTTATACTAGGGGGCAGCATGGTGGTGCAACTGGTAGAGCTGCTGCCTCTCAGCGAGCAGGTCCTTGGTTCAAACCCCGGTCCAGGGGCCTTTCTAGGTGGAGTTTGCATGTTCTCTCCATGCATGTGTGGGTTTTCTCCGGGTGCTCCGGTTTCCTCCCACAGACCAAAAACATGCATGTTAGGCTGATTGGTAACTCTAAATTGTCCCTAGGTGTGAGTGAGGGAGTGAATGGTTGTTTGTCTCGTTTGTCTCTATGTGGCCCTGTGATGGACTGGAGACCTGTCCAGGGTGTACCCCGCCCCTCGCACAGTGATTGCTGGACATGGGCACCAGCGACCCCCGTGACCCAAAATGGAATAAGCGGGTAAAGATAATGGATGAATGCCGTAATTTTTGAGAATTTCCAATGAAAGTGCAAGATTTAGACGTTTTTAACTTATGCACATTTTTATTATTTCATGTTCATCACTTGTTGCTCGGTCTTCATGACCAACCAAAACTAGAAATGAAAGAAAAAGTTTTAAGATGATGGAATCAAGCAACTTTATTTTTAATGCACATTTAAAACAGCCAGACTTGACCAAAGGGGTTGTTCATGTATCCCCAAGTCTCAGCCATAAAAACATTAAAACTGCAATAAAACATTTATAAAAACATACAATCTAAAACCAAGTAAAATTACTAAATGACATGAACTACATATATCTGCAGAGATAAATGGTCTAATTTAGATAATTTAGCCAGATAACCTTGAACTACAGACTGAGTAAAAGGCCTAAAATGACATGCATCAATATATTTTTCTTTTTTCAGGACATTTGTACAAAAAAAAAAACATCTGTAAATTTGTTTTCAGATAGTAAAAAGATCATTTGAACCATTCAGTTAACGAGAAGCCTTCACAAAGCCAATGGATCTGCCTGCTTCCAGGACACTGAATACCTGAGGTTCCCTGTATCTCCATTCTGCAGGTTTGCTTCTGCCCGGCTCATCCCCCGTTTCCACGGTGACCTCACTGATTGTGTTTCTGGCTCATGTCAAGGCTTTCTCTCTCAGCCCCCCACCCCCGACACGCTCCTCTCTCAATCCCCCCAGCCCCAGTGGTGCTGTTGCTGCTGCAGCCAAATTGCTGTCAGGGTTCACACGAGCCAGATATAACACAGCAGAGATAGTCAGGAACTCTTCTTTATATGTTTTTAAGCCCGTTCTCCACCGTTTAGAGCCGAACATTTCGGTGGAAGCAAAGAGCTCTTAAGTTGCTGTGAAAAAGAGGACGGGGTAAGTGTTGGAGAAATATGCGAGCTATGCAGGGAGGCAGCTGGATGCTTGAGCTTTTTAGCCCTCGCAGAATTCATACGTATAAAACCCCTTCTGACATTCCTCTGCCGCGGCACTTTAGGTTACTTCAAAAGAGCTAAATTCCTACGCTCGTGCGCGTGCTCTGATGCACGCATTTGTTTAACCAAGCGAACTTTGCAAAGCAGCAGTTCACGCTGTTTGAACAAGAAGAAAATGATGCGTCGTGTCCTTACAGGGCGTTCAAACAGATATACCATGTTGTGTTTCTGTTTTGTGACCCGAACCAGATGCGTAAAACACCTTTCGGTACGACTTCTGACTTGGGCCAGTTTTAGGCCTTACGCTGACCGTGTCGCCATGGAGACAGGGCCTGACTCCTCAGTGAGAAAAGAGGCCGCCACCGTGTGAAGTGGGGCAGAAACAATTTCTTAAATGTGCAAGACCCAAACTGGAACTTTAATCCTCTTAGCCGGGCCCCGGCTAACAAAGCTCATGCATGAGGACAGCAACTGAGTCGCATGCTTCGCTAACGTACACCGGCTCATAGGGGGGTTTGTTTGCTGTTGTACACAACACTCATGCGTCTTGTCCAGTGGAGTTTTGTGTCTGAGGAACAATCTGTGTTTAACTCTGAAAGCTGCACAAACTGCTGCAGAATGCATAATTAAAGGCCTGGCTTTCCCTGAAGCAATGCATATCACACACAGCCTTTCACTAAAATCATCTCAGCTCCAACCACATCAATTTTAAAACCATATCTGTAAAATTCACTGAGGTATAGACGTTTTTGTGTGGGCTGAGGCTGATTTGTTGTCGTGGCCTTGTTTAATTGGGTTGACTTTAAAAGTTAGCAAGACAAATTGCATTTTCTGCTAAAATACAGCGTGAATGCTGAATGATTGTGCTGAAATTTGCTAAAAAGACTGAAAGCTAATAGAAACAGAACACTAGCTAAAAGCTAAAATGATTAAAAAAATAGCAGTACTACTACTACTATTAGTACTAGTAGTCCCTCGTTTATTGCGGGGGTTACGTTCCAGACTCCCCCCCGCAATAAATTAAAATCCATGAAGTAGCGATGTTATATTTATTTTAGTATTTTCATATATTTTAAGGCTTTAGAAACCCTTCTCACACTTTTGCAATGTTCTAAACTCTTAAACCTACGTAATTTTAACAACATACGTATATGTAGCTACTAAATTTTACTCACCAGCTGGCAGAACAGCAGCGGCTCGGTTCTGCTCTGACTTGGCGGATCTACCCTGCCAGTTCTGGTCGGCTCTCTGGCTTGGAGTAATCCCAGTGGGCTCCAGAGAGAACGCTGGGCCTATGGCTGCTTGTCCCTGCTCGGACGTCCTCGATGGCTGGTTACCAGCTCTCGGGTTCGCCGATGGGTCTGGGAGTCAGGTTCTGCTTTGGTTCTGATCCGGTTCCATGAGGCTCTCTGAATCCGCTGGGCGCTGAGGTCACTGTAAAGGACCAAACTTTTTTTGATCAGATCAAAATTTTCCCTCTGTGTACTTCAACAGAAGGCAACAGGGCTTCTGGGCGGGGTACTGTTGGCTTCTGGGAAATGTAGTCCATATGAGTGAGGATACGGTGTAGGCTTAATGAGAGAAAACTACAAAATGGCGGTGCCTGTCCGAAGTATTTAATTTTTTCATTAACTTTTTACTGTACAGTATCCCATACTGTCCCAGTCACGAGTAATATTAAAGTTGACAATCGTGTGTCATGTACATTTTTTCCCCTCATGTTCAACCTTACTTTGAAAAACCGCAAAGAAGCGAGTCCGCAAAAGTCAAACTGCGAACTAGCGAGGGACTACTGTAACTAAAAAAAGCTAAGCTCCAGGTATAAGCTAAAAGTAGCAAAACACAAGGTAAATACTCAAAGTAGTAAAAGGCTAGCTAAAAGCATCATGTTACTTAAAAGTTTTAATAGCCAAAGGCTAGCTAGGAGCTAAAAGTAGCAAAAGAATCAATAAAATATGCTGATGTAGATTTCAACATGAACAATGTTTGGAAAGATCTGAAGAAATATCAGTGCATTTCTATGGGGGGAAAATATTTTATATCTTGTGTGATTCCTTGTGCACATTCCTTTGTGCTGAAACCCTGGCACAACAGTTTCCTGTGGGATCAATAAAGTTCTTATCTTAAATATTATTAAGTAAAGATAAATAATTTGAAAAGTATAAAAGTCTCATAAAGCAGAAGTCACAGCTCCCATCTCCTGAATGAGCCGAATGTCTTGTTACAGGAAAGTACGGGGAAAAAAAACACAAAAATAAACACACAATCATATGTTTGTATACGACTATTAAATAATATTGCATTAAACGTTTCATTAAAGTCAGTGTTTTATGAGATATTTCGCTAACAAACAGGGTAAACTCTAACAGTTAATGGCAAAGCTGTGGCGTTATATTTCACACTCAAAGTACGTGTTAGGGCCTATGCTCGGCTACTACCACGCCAAATGTGCTAAAAAAAATCTATAAGCTTGGCTGTTATTTCCATTTTTGTGTGTTTTCTAATTTTAGTTGGCCATGGCAGCCATCTTGAATGGGTTAGACTCCAAAAATCATCTGTCAATGTCCATCCATTAAAATCTGTTCAGTGACTGGAGATAATCAGCTAACGATACAGACAAACACACACAGATACGTACAAATACTTTGTCGCTCCATCTTCGGGTGGTATTAGGTTCACAAGTTTTGTTCAATCATCACTGTACGCCTAATATGAAACCACTGCTCCACATTACACGTCTTTTTAAACCCAGTTCAGACGATCCAGAACGTTTCGCCCTTGTTATGACATCAGGAAAGTCCAGTTTTATGTGTCTGCCTGGTTTGTGTAATTCATCTGCAACACAGCTAAAGTCATCGCAGTAATTAAAACCCAAGCATATTAAGGATTCCAGATGGACTCCCTCCCCATGATGGAAATATTGTATTTGGAGCCGAGTCATTGTTGGTGCTTCAGCTAAGAGCCATTATCTCCTGAGGGATTAGGCTGCCACAGATCCAGCTAATCATGGTGGGATAACAAGCTATCTGCAGTCCCAGAGGTTTCGCAGAGCCACAGCCACATTCAGGGCTCCTCGTCTAAAATTAAACTCGTTAAATGTTTACGTTCGCAGCAGGACTGAAATTCAATGTTTATTTTCTGTTGTTTGGAGTTTTTTTTTTTTTTTCTTTCTTTCCAGCGCTCCACAAGTTTAATTCTTAGTTTGAAGGGGTAATGTTCTTGCTTGTGTTTGTGCGTTTTTGTTCGCAAAACTTCTCATGAACCACTTGGTGGATTTGGAATGGAGCTCTCGTAAAGGAATCATTAGATGCACGTCTACGACTGATTCAAGATGGTCGCCATGACTAAGTGGCCTTTAAAACAAAAGTGAGCGTTGCACGCTAGTTTTGTTGAAACAACAGAAGATCAGGAAAACGCAAACACCTAAAAAGTGAGAAAAATTTTGAAAACGTAATTTGTTCAGTGATTGTCAATTGGTGGTACCCGGGCCACATCTGACACATTTAATTTGGTCCTCAAATCATTACATTATTTTGGAAAACTATAGTTCTATTAGTGTGAACGCATATGAAGCGTTCACGCTATTGTGATCCATTTTTCTTCCGTACATTTTTTGGTATTTTTCTCGTTCCACAATTTTTGTGCTATTTCAACTAGGGGTGCACCGATAAACCGCCCGGCCGATTTATCGCCCCGATTTCCTTAATTTTGGGAGATCGGAGATCGGCTGATGCTTACATGAGAAACCGATTTTATTGATTGTATTTTTTTAGTTTTTTTTGTCTAAACTTCATTTATATTTCAGAGCACTACCTCATGGCCTGTTAAAACAAGTTTGTATCATTTGTAGGATATTGGTGTGTTTTTCAATGAAATAAGACTGGAAAATTGAAGGCGCATTGTGACCTTATAACACCTGACAGTGTCGCTTATAAAACAAAATCAGTATCGGCCAAAATCGGCTTTTTAGAAATCGGTGAGTGGCCAGAAAACTGCAATCCGTGCAACCCTAATTTCAACAAATAATAAATCAAAACGTTTAGCTCTTTCAGGAGAAGGGTGCAGTGACCTTTGGTATTGGTACAACTTTAGCTTTTTGAATTATTTAGCCTTTTCTGCCACTTTTTTCCTCATATAAGCTCATTTTCCATCCTTCAAATCTTTAGATCTGTTTACAATCCTTGTGCAAATTTGAACTTTTTTCAACTACTTTCAGCTAATTTCTGCTAACTAAAACATTTTTGTGCTTCTTCTAACTTCTTTCTGCTAATTTCATGTGCTTTTTAGACTCCTTTCAGCTTATTTATGCAAGTTTCTTGAAATTATTTCAGCTAATATTTTTTTGTATCAGCTATTTTTTTGCTAATTTTAGATTGTTTTTAGTTTATTTCCTATTTTTTGCCTATTTAAACCTAATTCAGTAAATATGTGTTTCTCAGCTTTATTCGGCTAATTTAGGCTTGTTCTTCCATTTCAGCTACATTTTAAGATGTTTTTTTTTTTTTTTTACTAATTTCAGCTGTTTTCAGCAAGTTGATTTGCAATAAGCATTCACATTGCATTTTAGCAGGAAATGCAATTTGTATAGTTCTGTGAGTTTTACAAATATTGATCTAAAATTTGATTTGGTGTTGGCTGGGATTCTTTAACAACACATGTTCACAGCACTCACAAATTATATATAATCTTTTTAAAAGTTTTTATTAATGTAATTTTATTGGATAAATGCATTTATTATTTAAATGTCATTTAGTTAAATACAGTATCTCACAAACCACTGAATGGATTTGTATAAAACTTTCAAGATATAATCTCTGGATGTACTTTTAGAAATTATACATTTTTGAAGCCAACACAATTTAAGATGGCCTCCACAGTCAACTGACATTATAAAAAACAACATGAAAATAGCTATAGCTCAGGCAGTTATTCTAATATTGACCTCAACTTTGAAGTAGTAGTAGCTGAGAGTCAGCTTCTAAACGTAGTTGAAGTGCTTAAAGGTTTCTCACGAGATAACCTCAAGTGTTTACAGTATTTGACCAAAATGGCTTCAACTTCATCCCTTCCCAGCATGAAATGATCGTAGTTGACTTATAAAAATAATCAATGAGATACGATAAAAGGTGACAATAAGCATTCCTCAACAGAATGATACCTTTGTGGACGCGTTAATGTTAAAATAGCAGGTCAAATATTTGCCTTTACTGCGTTTTTAATTTTTCGTCTTTATTTTCCAGGGTAACGTCACGTCATCGAGAGGTAGTGACCTCGGTGATAACGGCATACCCACTGTGAGCCATGCCTCCTACTCAGACACCTCAGCTGCTTCGCACATCAATGGGAAAACACCGCTGGAGGATGTTGACCAGATTATTCACTCTATGGCACAGGTGCAAATTTTAACTGCAGTAAATTAAATCTGAAACGGAGTCACGGTGCCGACTCTTTTTCAAGTCCAAGTGGATTCATAACAGCAACTTATGATGACGGTTGTCATTACTTTAACACAAACTAATCACAACCATTCAAAGGTGGTGTAAATTTATGTGTATGTGTGTGTTGTGCGACAAAGGGGCGCTACGTGACACAGGCGGAGCTGCAGAAGCCGTCCTCAGGAGGCCTTGGCTTCAGCGTGGTGGGACTTAAGAGTGAGAACCGCGGCGAGCTCGGCATCTTCATTCAAGAAATCCAGCCGGGAAGTGTTGCTCACTGGTACGTTTGAAACGACGGAGGTTAGGAAAACACTGACAGTGAGACGCATGTTGGAAAAACATTTAGATCAGTGTATCAAAGTTCATGCTCAATAATCCAGGTAAAAAACCCAACAGAGTTAACTCCTCTGGACTGTTTTGAACCACTTTGGCACTCTTCAACCGCCAAGCACATTTCATTCGGTCCACAAAGTATTAATTTATTCTTAAAATCAGTTGTAGTCCAGCTCTGAAAGGGTTAACGACAGTCCTTAGTCCAGGGTATCAAACAGTTACAAAATGTGGCCACAATTGAAAACTTGGTCCAAGCCACAGTCCATTTCCAGTTGACACATTAACTCAAGTCAGATACATGACACATTTTCTTGCTTCCAGGTTCCTCAGCAAGAGTTTGATCTGTTTTATTGGACGTTCTCTGTTGCTCTTTCCACATCAGAATCAAAGATTACTGAAAAATTCAACCTTTTTTCTTCATAAGAGCTTCAAAGTTAGACAGGTGGCACGAGAAGTTTGCACTAAATGAAGTATTTACAAGTTTATTAAGCAAAATGAGAAGTGATCAAAAATATTTTATGTTTAAAATATCATCTTGATGGGCGGGCAGCACGGTGGCGCAGTTGGTAGCACTGCTGCCTCTCAGCGAGAAGGTTGCCCCGGTTCCAATCCCGGTCCGGGGGCTTTTCTGAGTGGAGATGTTCTCTACGTGCATGCGTGGGTTTTCTTCGGGTACTCTGGTTTTCTCCCACAGACCAAAAACATGCATGTTAGGCTGATTGGTAACTGAATTGTCCCTAGGTGTGAGTGAGAGAGAGGATGGTTGTTTGTCTCTATGTGTCCCTGTGATGGACTGGAGACCTGTCCAGGGTGTCCCCCGCCTCTCGCACGGTGATGGCTGGACATGGGCACCAGCGACCCCTGGGGTGGGGTGGGGGTGGAGGTGGGTTTGTAGGTGGTAGGCCTGTCGCAATAAATCAGTTAATAAGTCAGTTAATCGCACAGTAAATAAAAATTATCGACCTCGTTTTCATTTATCGGCTTTATCGTTTTTTCGTGTCTCTCGCTTTCTGCTGAAGACACTGGATAAAAAAGGCTCAACTCCGGTGCTCTTCCCTGACCATTCCCTTTCTCTTTTTTCTCTCTTCTTTAAAATCTGTTTTAACGATCCAAAATTGCGGTTTTGGATTGTTAAAGCATCTAAGCTACACTAAACTATGCTAAGCTACGAGCTAAGCTAACAGGCCGACCTCGGGGGAAAAAACCTCCGTCTTGTCGAAGCTCCAAAATTCACAGTTGAAACCCGTGCCTTTGTGTAAAAAGTTGGTTTTCTCTGCAAAAACAAGCTGAGAACTTGTTTACTGATTTTTTTTATTAAAAGCTTTGTGTTAAAAATACTATGCTAAAGAGCTTAAACCACACCGAGCATCCGCCATTTTGAGAACCAAAAAAAAAAGGAAAGAGAGACACAGTGTTGCTAGGTGAGAACTGTAGGATTATTGTACTAGAGACATAAAATTATCGTATTTTGAGGGAAATTATCGTACACCCGTCATAACCAAAATAACAAATCTATTTATGCACTATAGTAGTGATGGGTCCGCTTCCAGACCAGCTCTGCTTCTTCTTCTTTTCTTTTTCCTTTTCCTCACTCATGGGGCGGGCGCAGCGGACTATTCAGCCAATCATGGCTGTTGTTCTGAGGCAAAAGCAAACACGTCACTCGTAGGTAACATTTAGCAAAGCTAAAAATGGCTGGAAATTCCAGCCAATCGTGCATCTGTTTGCGGACACAGATGCCTTCAGGGTTCACAAAAAACCTCCGACAAACAGTTGCGAGAGGCTGATGACAACCGATTACAACCACACATTCAAGAAATGGTCAAATAATCGTATATTTGGATTTTTTTGGGATTATTGATCGTACAGAGGGCAAAATTGTCGTTCAAATACGATAATTATCGTACACCTGGCAACACTGGAGAGACAGCCCATGTCATGTCCAGGGCCTCCCTCCCATTTTTCTTAAAGAGACATGCTGCTCAACTGTCCATCCTTTGGTTCAAATTGTCTTATACTGCCATCCAGTGTTCAAAAAAGGTACTACATACAAAATAAATTAACCAACATCCATCATCTTTTACCCGCTTCTTCCATTTTGGGTCACAGGGGTCGCCGGTGCCCATGTCCAGCAATCACTGTGCGAGGGGCGGGGGACACCCTGAGCGGGTCACAAGTCCATCACAGGGCCACATAGAGACGAATGAGACAAACAACCATTCAAAAACCCACGCATGCACGGAGAGAACATGCAAACTCCACCCAGGAAGGCCCTCGAACCGGGATTTGAACCGGCAACCTTCTCACTGAGAGGCAGCAGCTCTACCAGTTGTACCACTGTGCTGCCCCTTAAATTTTAAAATAATTACTAAATAATTATAGTCAAATTTCAAACAGTATTATAGTTTATCGCAATAATTTCTGAGAATTAGTCGCCCAGCAAAATTTGTTATCGTGACAGGCCTAGTAGGCGGGGCGCTCAGTTCTGTTGACAGGGCGTTGCTCGATCCTTGTATAATTGTTAAAAACTCTGAAGTCTTTCCAGGCTAAGCTAACAGCTAGCCAAACAAGGGCCTGTTTTTAAAATGGTTTTTCAGGCTTGCATAGCTCTTTCTTAAAAACTTCATCCTAGCGTGAAAGAGCTTTTCATTAGCTAACATTGAACCTCCTCACGTTTGCATAACACCGTGTTTTTAGTTTGTAGCTCATTTCGCAGCCGAACAACATCCATATCACAGAGAAAGTCTATGATAGTCCAAAAGTTTGTTCTTTACACGCTTTCATTGGTTGATTGTAAGTTGATGGGAGTTACCTCAAAGACAGGGAACTGTGGCTCCCCAACTTACTGTCTTATGAAAAATTGTGACCTTTGAGCAAGTTTTATTAGAAACGTGTTAATCCAGAAGGGGTGAGAGACTTTCACTTGTAGTTACAGAAATTACAATTGTGGCTTCTGAGGCTAATTTGTTAAAATTTACCAGAGATTAAAAGCATAAATATTAATTTGACCTACTTTAAAGTTTGTAACTTTATTCCAGACTTATATAGTGTGTTTCTTGGTCTTCATGACATCACAAGTTTTCATGAGGTGTGAACACCAATTCAAGGCACTGTAAAGTGATGGGTGAATCAACTTTAATCTACGAATCAACTTTAGCTCAAGTTTCCTTGTTTTGTTTCTACAGCGACGGGAGGCTCAAAGAGGCGGACCAGATTTTAGCCATAAACGGTCAGCCACTGGATCAGACTGTGAGCCACCAGCAAGCCATAGGCCTCCTGCAGAGTGCTTCAGAGAAGGTGCTGCTCATTGTGGCCCGAGGGCCAATCCCCCAGCTGACCAGTCCAGTGGTGTCCCGCACGCCTTCGGCTGCTAGCACGCTGTCGGCCCACTCCAGCGCGGTATAAACATCTCCACCCTGTGAACAGAACGCTAAACTCAAGCTGTTCAATCACATGAGAATCTCCATGATTTAGCCAAAGCTGTTTTTAGTTTTTATACCATGACCTGATAAATCAAACTCAAGAGTTCTGTCATTGGTGTTTTTGTCATTTTTTTGTCTCTCAGTGGCAGCATGTGGAGACAATCGAGCTGGTGAACGATGGCACCGGTCTTGGTTTTGGTATTGTTGGAGGAAAAACTACAGGAGTCATCGTCAAAACTATCCTCCCTGGAGGCATAGCTGATCAGGTGATCGCACTGATGTTGAGTATTTCTGTCGTAGAGAAGATCTGTTGTAGGTTTTGCGATGCTTAGCAAAACGTGCTTCGTTTTTTTTTTTACCTCAGGATGGGCGCCTGCGAAGTGGGGATCACATCCTGAGAATCGGGGACACTGACCTGCACGGGATGGGCAGCGAACAGGTGGCCCAGGTCCTCAGGCAGTGTGGCAACAGGGTGAAGCTGGTGGTCACCAGGGGTCCTGTGGAGGAGCCTCCCTCTGCCGTCATGTCTGTGGTGCTCCCCACCGTCACCGAGCAGCAGGTAAAGGAGTCTCTTTCACCTTAAACCACAAATACAGCAGGGTTCTGGTACACTTTTATTCATTCAGTTTTGTAAAGACTTCTTTTCAGAGATAACTAAAAAGCTTTTTATCTTTTTTTTTATTTTTTTTATTTATTTGTTCAGATAAAAAGAAGTAGAGAGCTAAGAACACTTTACATTACTTACTGTTTGTAGATACTCCCACTTTGTGCAGTCAAGTCCCTGTAAACATTGGTTCATATCAGCAACTCACAATTTAAAAGGATAGTTAGGACAACAACAAAAATTAAATCATGTCGTCTGGATCAGTTTCTTTAAGTGAGAAACGTTTCGTCTCCCATCCGGAATACTTCATCAGTCTGCGGCCTGCCAACCAGACCTGTCCCATATGTAGCCTTCACTACCTACCTTGACTTGAGTAGCCTTACTGACCATTTGCTACAACCAAATGGACTCATACTGTATATTCAGTATCCTCAGTGCACCTAGAGTTGTCTAGCAACACAAACGCTGTTCGGTTGAGGGAACGATCAAAAACTAAACAATCTCGTGCATAAACGTAGCGCTTTAATTTTTGCTAATATCGCCCCTCTGGTTGTCAAGCCATGGCTGACTCTATCTACTGGGAAGAATGTGACTGGCAGAATGAGTCATAGTGAGAACGTTTCAGTACTGAGTTATTTATTAATTCTCCAGCTCAAAAACTTCAAATTAATGCGCACTTTGTTGAAATTTGGCGATTTACCACTTGGACTGGCAGTAAGCTCATTTTGTGTATGAGAGTGCTGGTTTGGCAACTTTTATTCACCTGAAGTGATGTCATGGGAAATTCCAGTCCTGTATTTATTAGGGATGCACGATATGGGATTTTTGGCCGATATCCGATATGTCAATATCTTAAAACTTATTTGGCCGATAACCGATACAGATATTTTTTATATCCACGTTCCTTTGTCAGAACATAGCCCTCTTATTTAGACTTATTTGTTACAAAAATTGTGTAACAGCTGTAAGAGCTGGTGACATATATTCAGTAACAGCCATCTGATATGCATAGCACTTTAACTTATATTAAATGAAAAGTGTTAAATGTTATTTATTAGCATCAGTCACCTGCGATGCTGTCTCACTTGTGGAGGCTTGTTCCAGGTTCCTAGCTGCAGTGTGGGATCCTCTGCACTCTTGTGCATGAAGGACAGCCTTTTTAAGTTCAAAGTTTTTGTATATCCATTGTGCCGTAAGACACAAAGGGACGTGTAACACTTGACGTCCAAATATCTGTGGTAAAACTCACCCAAGTGCTATCGGCTGTTAGCTTCTCAACGACGTCAGAAGTGACGGCTTGTAACTCGGGTAAGGTTATGTCGGAAAAATATCTCCGACTGGGGACGATGTAGAGGCTCATTGTAGTCCAAAAATCTTCAGAATCCGACATCCTCAACAAAAAAAACTTGCACACCGCCGACATTTTGACTTCTTCCTCTCCGCGGTGATCAGATCAGGTAGGCACGCGTGACGTCATCACGTTGTGCTGCCGCTGCAGGCATCCTTGTCACTGGGTTGTCATACAAAGACAGCGTCTTTTATATCCGTGAGCTATTTTGATAGAATGGCTGATGTCCGATATTTAACTTTAACGCTAACATTGGCCGATATCGATACCGTGCCGATCATATCCATCCATCCATCCATTATCTTTACCCACTTATTCCATTTTGGGTCACGGGGGTCGCCGGTGCCCATGTCCAGCAATCACTGTGCAAGGGGCGGGGGACACCCTGGACGGGTCGCAAGTCCATCACAGGGCCACATAGAGACAAACGAGACAAACAACCATTCACTCTCTCACTCACACCTAGGGACAATTTAGAGTTACCAATCAGCCTAACATGCATGTTTTTGGTCTGTGGGAGGAAACCGGAGTACCCGGAGAAAACCCACGCATGCACGGAGAGAGCATCCAAACTCCACCCAGAAAGGCCCCTGGACCGGGGTTTGAACCAAGGACCTGCTCACTGAGAGGCAGCAGCTCTACCAGTTGCGCCATCGTGCTGCCCTGCCGATCATATCTAATATTTCATCCCTAATATTTATAAGGAAAAAATGAGCGTAAAAGTTTAAGAAACCTGCCCCCCTTGGACCAATACACAACTGAAAGATAGTTCAGAGCACCAGGTCCAATAACAGATAGAGGGGTTTATGAAGGCTGAGGCTGACAAGGAGATGACAAACAGTTGAGCTAAAGTGAGAGCAGATGCTAAAAACATGCTAGAAAAACCAAAAGGCAATAAATAAACCAACCAACTCAGATCCTGACACAACTGTGTGATGGAAATTGTCCAGTTTTGACAGTCCAACTAAAAACCTATAACTGGCCTATGCCTACAAAGTTTAGTGACAATGCATTGGAGCGGACTCGTTTTTCCAATACTACATAACAAGTATTTGTTTACTTGAGTTTGGCTTTCCATAAACGTTGACTTGTTCTGATTATTGTCTCCACAGAGCGGTGAGGAAGAGGAGGCTGAAGCATTCGATGTGACTCTAACCAAGAACGCACAGGGACTGGGAATCACAATTGCTGGCTACGTTGGAGATAAAAACTCAGGTGAAATGTTTATTTTGTTAACTTATGATAAAGGTAGTATAATAATAGAAAAGCATGCACCGTATTTTTCGCCATACGTGTCGCACCGCCATATAAGTCGTATCAGTCCAAATATGTCTAAAAAAGTGGAAAAATCCATTAATATGTCACATCGCCATATACGTTGCATCAATTATGCATCACCGCTGACTTGTCGCATTTGTTACGTGTCACCGCTGACAACCCGGAAATATGGGCCGGTGTGCCAAAGATCGATGGGCTGCCAAATGGCAGCTGCGAGAGCATGTACGGGAGGACTTTAACAAGAATTTAACAAGATTACCACATAAAAACAATTGTTTGTTTGCTCGAAATTATAGTAAAGGTGTGTCTCAGTCTACCTTTTGCTTAATAAATTAACTTTGATGGTCAAATCATATGTATTTCAAAACCCGATTCACAGAAGTGGCGGGCACACGCAGAGGGACAAGCCTCCGCATTTCTTTGAAATTTAACAAGATAAACACCTAAAAACAATTATTTGTTTGCTCAAAATTATAGTAAAGGTGTGTCTCAGTCTAACATTTGCTTAATAAAAGGACTTTAACAGTCAAATCAGCTGCATTTCAAAAGTATTCGATGCCTCGGTGCTCTGGGAGCGTGCAGAGGGAGGAAAAAAGGAAGGAGGCACGCTGCTCGTTTCTTCGAAATTTAACAAGAAAATCACCTAAAACAATTATTTGTTTGCTCGAAATTATAGCAAAGGTTTGTCTCAGTTGAACTTTTACTTAATAAATGCACTTTAATGGTCAAATTAGCTGCATTTTGTAGGCAGTGCAACGAAATAAAGCTGGTTTGACGGTTGCTCCAAGCAGTGAGCAGAACAAAGGTAGGGTCTATGGCAAGCCGATTGTGTCAATAATAGATGGTAAAGTTTCTCAGTCATCCAGAACATGGTAAATTCAAAAAATTTCAAAACAAAAATAATTAAGTATAAAGTAAATTATAATAAATAAAGCCCAGTTGTTTTTGTCTTGAACTTTTTTGGATTTGTCATTATTGCCACTTTTACCTATTACACTTCACCACTTGCTCTCGCCGAGATCGGATGCTTCTCCCCTCCCTCTCTGCTTTGCTTTGCTGCTCTGTCTGTCTGTGAAACTGCTTGTGAGACTCTCTTGCATTTCTTCTGAACCATAATTATGGACTTTTTGATCAGTTGGTCCCTCAACTCAATTTACAACATTTCTTCGAAGAGAAGAGACAGGCTTTAGGCGAGCCGATTTGCCCTGTTGGCACGCACACAGCTGGATATCTCATCGACTTGGAAGACTTGATGATGTGTCTAGGAAGACGTCAGCAGCAAATTTGGACCCGATCACGCTGCTTGCCTTTATGATGGCTTGGTTCGTGTCTCGAGTACCCGGACTCAAATGCTTTGGACAGAATGGATCAGATCTTGGGGATTTTACTCAGGCACGTTCCTTCGGTGTGGCCATGTATTTTGGACATTTCGGAACTGAGTGGACCAACACAGACTCAAGGTAGATGTCATTAAGTTCTGCCTGTCCCCAAAACAACTGTGTGTTTATCTGAATTTGGCTCCCTTGGCTGGCCTTGAAGGTCATCTTATCAGAATTCGCCTGGAGAAAATGTGATCTGATGCTCACCACCCCCTCCCTGAGGAATTTCCAACTGATAACCAGATGAAACCAGCTGAATAAACTTTATGTCATCATTTCAGGACTCTTGGATTCTCATAGACTTTGTTCTTGGCCATTCCTCGACATACCTCAAGAATGTTTATGGATCTCACTGGAGGACATTGGCTAATCCTTATCCTTATCAGAACTCTTACAGTGACCTCGAGAGCATCTATGAACATGCTCACTGCTCTCGGCTCCCCCCTCTACAGAATGTCTATGTCACTATGTGCTTGTTTGTGCGAGGTGTTTTTTTAATATTAGAGTTTTTTTCTCAGGCAGGAAAAAAAGTCTGATAGGAATTTTTTCGCCTCCAACTCCTACATGTGTCCATTTTACCACTTTTTTGTCTGTCCAAGCAGGTCTCACTTGTAAATGAGTCTTTTAGGCTCAATGTGATTTATCTGTTTAAATAAAGGTTGAATGGAAAAAAAAACATGATACAACGGCATGCCTTACTGTTACTACTACTTTGCTGCCATCTAGTGGCTGAAAATGGTCAGTCAGAATTTTCACACAATGAATGAAAACAGTCATATCTCAGCCAAAAATTGGTTTATAAATATGGGAAAAAAATCCATAAATACCTCGCTTTGGCCTATAAGTCGCAGGGCATGCAAATTATACAAAATAAACAAAAAACAAAAAAACGTGACTTATAGGCCGAAAAATACAATAATTGGGATATTATGGAAGATGTATTTTCTTTGCACTCTCTGTGTTTTAGCATTTTGGTCACTATCATTCTACCAAACCAAAAATAAATCTGTAACTTGTTGGATTCCAAGCAGTCTTTTAAATTATTTATTTTAAAATGACAATATATTTTTTGAATATTATGCAACGCCACATCTCGTCATTCTACTTATAATTGCATCACAGAATTACACACGTGGGGTCTTTATACAAGTCGTTAAATAAAAAGAAAAGAGCGCTCTAAAGTTGTAAACTGATTGGAGTGTGGAGGTGGATTACAGGGACGCTGCAGCTTCATCTGTCTACAGATTAACAGTTTTTAATGATGGTTTGATCCTCTTCATCAGCCGGGAAAAGCTTTGGCAGGAAAACTAGTGAGCGTGATCTGATAGACCGAACGAGGGATGGCTGAGTAGTTGCCAGAAATGTAGTCATAAATATTGTCAGGGGTATTTCTTTCTCGTTGAGCAGTTTGAAACACACTGATGGAAGTTACCACCATCTTGATTAAAATCACTGGCAACAATAAAAACAAATGAGATGCTTTTTTGATTGTTTTTTTTCATGTGACTGCTAATGATCTTTTTAATTTCCATCTTGGGAAATGTAAGCAGGAGTAACTAATGGGCTGGTGAACTTTTTTGGCAGGAACAAATATGATTTTAGGAACATATTTGTACCTTTTTAAAAATATCAGAGAATCATGTCTGTTTTTAAAGAAAAATAAAAGCCATAATAGGAAATTCAAAATGTTCAAAGCTTTAAAGTAATAAAACAAAATTTGTTATTTGTTGATATTCTGTGCCATAGTTAATAGTATTATTCAGATCCTTATTTTAATGCTGCAAAACAACCCAAACCATGACACTACCACCGCCAAATGTTTAACCGTACTATTATTTTTGTTTTATTAACAATATTTAAACTATTATCTTTGATTTTATCTCTTTGTATTGCTCTGTTGAGTATAAATTGTATAATATTACTACTGGAAGTTCCCCTAGACTGCACAGGAAGTGCTACAGCTAGTTGCTGTTGCAGCCTCTATTTGTGCTTGTAAATAACCTTTATGCAAGTTAGTGGTGGTGTAAAAGTTTATAAAACAGCATTTATATTAACGTAGTATTTCTAAAATCTGGTGGTGGTAGTGTCATGGTATGGGCTTTTTTCACTGCAAACAAAACCTTACAAGAAATGTATAAAGTTTTAATTAAACAAACACATTAGGTATGAAAAGGATGAAGTGTTTAATCCTATATGAAGTGTGACCTTTTCAGTGTTACCCTTTTAAATTTACAACTTGTTCTGACTCCACAGAGCCCTCAGGGATCTTCGTTAAGAGCATCACGAAGGACAGCGCTGTGGATCAAGACGGACAAATTCATGTTGGAGACCAGATTATAGCTGTAAGTTCACTCTTTGGTTAAGAGAAATTTAATTTTCTGTGAAAGTACTGTCAGAACGCTGTGCGCTGAATGACATTGATTTATTTTGCAACAGAGGTCGAAACTTCGTTGTTAAAGCTAAAATAAGCAGGATGCTAGCTAAAAGCTAAAAGAAGATGAAAACTTGCTATATAATCAAGATTCAAAAGGCTAGCTAGAAGCTAAAAGTACAAAAAAAGCCTGGCTAAAATCTTAAAGTAGCAAAAAGCTAGATAAAAATACTAAATTGCTAGCTAAATACTAAAGGTAGCATAGTGCTAGCTAAACGCTAAGTAAAAAAAAGGAAAAATTAAACTAGCAAAAGGCTATGTAAAAATATCAGTAGGTTAGCTTATAATTAAAAGTGTCCAAAGATTAAAGTGTTCAAAGGTTAGCTCAAAGCTAAAAGTATCAATTGCTGGCTAAAACCTAAAGTAGTAAAAAGCTAGGCAAAAATATCAATAGGTTAGCTTATAATTAAAAGTGTCCAAAGATTAGTTCAAAGCTAAAAACTGCCAACAGAACCACACTGCTAACAGTTCCATGCTGCTGTAGATGTTTTTATTTTTCACTTTCAGTGCTTGGTTTTGTACTTTTGTTGCATGGTTTTGGTATTTCTTGGTTGTTGTTGTTTTTGTTTTTTTGGGGGACAAGTCTAAACGCTTATCGTCCTGGGCATTTCATTGAAATGTTGACCTGCCTATGACAATAAACCCAACCTACCTAACCTAAAACTATCAAATGCTTGCCAAAACCTAAAAATAGGAAAAAGCTAGGTAAAATGATCAAAAGGCTAGCTGAAGGTATCAAATAGTTAATAAATCTCAAAAGGCTAGCTTAAAGTTAAAAATATCAATGCTAGCTGAAAACTATAAGTATCCAAAGGTTAGTTTTAGTATTCAAAGATTAGCAATAAGCTAAAAGTATCAAATGCTAGCTAAAACCAAAAAGCTAGATAAAAATATCAAAAGGCTAACTAAAAGCTAATGTAGCTAAACAGAAGCTAAAAACAGCAAATGAAAACAAAAACAGAGGAATGAAAATGAATCTTTAAGATTTTCAAGAGAATAATGTATTTGAAGGGATTGTTGAGACTTATATGTATTTTCTTGAGGAATTTTACTTTCATCTTTTATCTTTACTCGTTTCATCTTTCCACGTTTCCTAGGGTTGCTGCATGGTGCCTTTTTTTGAAAAGTATAAAAGTTACAAAAACCAAAACTCCTGAAATAATCTGAAATTACCAAACATACGCAGTTATAGTTGGCTTTCAGACAACGTGGACAAATAAAAGCAGGAATTCAATAAGTGAGCGCTGAGTTCCCGTTCACACAAACAGATTGAAGTTGTGTGGAGGCAAGTCTGCATAGTTTTGAATAATTCATAATTACTTGACAGAACGAAGTTTGTATTCTGATCATGAATATTGTAAAGTGTTTCATTGACGCGTTGAGAAAGTATGTTTTTAATTTTAACACTAAAACACAATTAGAGTGTAATATTTTTAGTTCTAACTCCTGTGCGGTTCTTCTCTGAGTACGTGCTCAAGAACTTTAATAGTTGTAATTATTTTAATTCATCACTGACCTTAGCGGAGCTAATTAAGTAAGTCGGGGACTACTTGTGAACAGCATTGTGCTTTCTGTATGTCCTCTGGTGATTACAAACACTTTAATGTGAATTGAATTTCAATTAAGAATACATTTCACATTTTAGCACTTTTTTAAACCAAACCTTTGATAAATGAGATAAAAATGGTTTTCCTCTGCAGGTGGACGGTGTAAACATCCAGGGATTCACCAATCAACAGGCAGTGGAAGTGCTCAGACACACCGGCCAGACGGTCCATCTTAAGCTGATCCAACGGGGCTTTAGGCCTGATGGAGTCCCTCCCGCCGGACCCCCCGGTGTCTCTGTCTTGTCCTCTTCCGCCATCATCCCCACCACCACCGCTGTGATGGAGATGGAGCTGGAGAGGAAGAAAGCAGAGGAGCCCGTTGAAGGTAGGATGGGTACATTTATTAAGAAAAACATTGCAACTACTCACGGGTATAAAAATGTATTTTTATGTGTGAATGTGGCTCCAACTTTGCTCAAGAGACCTTTGGAATTGGATGATTTTCACCTCGAATGCTGCCCAGCACTTAAAACTGATTTTATTTTTCTAAAGACCACAGTTAATGCAGCTAAATTGCTTTAGCACAGTCCATATTGTTGTGGATGTTATTCCTGATTTAGAAAAATAAAAATTGTCAGGAAACCTTAAGGTGTTTGAATCACAGTCAAAGAAAACACAGTAGGTGTAAAAAGTTACCAAAAAGAAACATGGATTTTCCACAAAGTTAATGTGTCACCCACTTCTACAGCTGACTAACAAATGAGCTGAAGTTTTCATTCACTGCACCAACCGACGCTGAAACAGACGACAGTTTTAAAGGGACATTCTGGTAATTTTTGATCAGAATATCCCAATACGTTTGGTTAAAGTCTAACCAAACGAGGGAAATCAACCATCATGGATTGACTTGATGGTTTTAGATGTGCAGCTAGTGATTACTTTCTGAGAGTTTTATGTAAATTTGTCCCATGGTTCATTACATATTTTGCCAACAGACAAACAAATGAATTAAATTAGCCAATAAAACTCACTGTAGTTGTTAGGAGTCCGTGTTGTGGGACTTCAAAGGAAAAGTTCAGTTTTATCATCATAGAAAATCAGTCTTTCTTAAAACTTTATTGTATAATAATTTAATGTTAACTTAAAAATACACAAACAGAATATATAAAGTAACCGTTTTAGTATTTTTGTATTTTTCATTCATAGAGCTTGGATTAAGGACTTGGCTCTTAGCAGTTAAAGGTTAAACAATAAATCAGCACTCCCAAAACTGGAAGGACATTTTTGCTTTATGATCTTCTGAAAGGCCTCCACTCTTGTTCAGGAAGAGCCTCATAGAACTGTAAGAACCTCAGGGACGCACTTTGTAAATGTTAAGAAAAATCACTTGTATATTGAGCAGTGTTTCATGAACCATTATCCAAGGAGGGCACCCCGCCCTGTCAACAGAAGCGAGTGCCTCGCCTACCTAATCCCCCGTCCGTGACAGACCGCTCCGCTACTTCCGAACGGGGAGCGGCGATTGTATTAGCTCAGACCAAGCGTTAGTACCATAATGCTTCACTACACCGCCCCCACACCACCACCCCATTGACAACTGCTGGTATTACTAACGTAACACTCCGCTACGATCTACACCATTGTTACCATCCCGCTCGACTATTGTAATCTTCTGTATGTTGGGGTCAGTGTGTCTGCTGTCACCCATTTATGGATGATGATGCTGGCTTTAAAATCTTTAACTAGTCTTGCTCCTCCCTACCTTTCTGAGCTGCTATGCCCTTACCTACCTGCCCAGTCTCCTATGTCTGCTGATCAGCTGCTCCTGATTGGACCAAAACCTAGGTGCAATCTCAGATGGGACTGTGCTTTTAGGGTGGTGGGGCCAGAAATGCTGGAGGAACAAATTGCCTTTGGATATTAGACAGCCATCTTCCTTAGCTGCTTTAGAATGTCCACTTCTGTTACTTTTTAGATGCTAATTTTATGGTTTTATAGTTTTATTCCTGTTATTACTTTTTGACTGTCAAATTTGCTTCCCCCTAAGACACAATGATACATGCTCTCATGCTCTATTCAACCTCTGCTTGACTGCCTGGCTGACATCAGGGACTGGATGGCTTTAAACTTCTTAAGTTTCAATGAAAAGAAGTCAGAAGTCATGTTGTTCCCTCCCAACGACACGATCACAAACCACTGCATCGACCTCTCCGCTCTAACCCTGTCAGAAAAACAAAGAGTCACTAATCTGGGAGTGATACTGGACCCTTCCCTGAAGCTTAACAATCATGTAAACATGATTGTTAAATCATGTTTCTTCCAACTGAGGCGGCTGTCTAAACTGAAGCCCATATTGTCCAAAAATAACCTGGAGACAGTAATACATGCATTCATTACATCTAGGCTTGATTACTGCAATTCGCTCCTGTTTGGTATCAGTCAGACCTCCATTGCACGACTACAACTGGTCCAGAATGCAGCAGCCTGATTTTTAACCAGTACAGGCAAAAGAGAGCACATTACACCAGTTTTGGCCTCACTGCACTGGTTACCGGTTCACTTTCGAATCCAGTTCAAAATACTCATGTATGTCTACAAATCACTGAATAGTTC